CCCAGGGATGGCGAGGTCCCGCTCAGGTCCCCGCGGTGCCTCACTCCGCTGGAACCACCAGCAGCCTTCGAACGTGGCGACAGCGTCGCAGATCGCAGCCCCCCAGGGACGACGAGGTCTCCCTCAGGTCCCCGCGGAGTTTCAGTCCGCAGGACCCACCAGCAGCCCTCGAAAGTGGCGACGATGTCACAAATGGCCCCCCCCCCCAGGGACGACGAGGTCTCCCTCAGGTCCCCGCGGTGCCTCACTCCGCAGGACCCAACAGGAGCCCTCGAAAGTGGCGACGGCGTCGCAGATCGCAGCCCCCCTGGGGCGGCGAGGTCTCGCTCAGGTCCCCGCGGTCTCCGCTAAACCCACCAGCAGCCCTCGAAAGTGGCGACAGCGTCGCAGATCGCAGCCCCCCTGGGGCGGCGAGGTCTCGCTCAGGTCCCCGCGGTGCCTCACTCCGCTAAACCCACCAGCAGCCCTCGAAAGTGGCGACAGCGTCGCAGATCGCAGCCCCCCCCCCGGGACGACGAGGTCTCCCTCAGGTCCCCGCGGTGTTTCAGTCCGCAGGACCCACCAGCAGCCCTCGACAGTAGCGACAATGTCACAAATCGCAGCCCCCCCACGGACGGCGAGGTCTCGCTCAGGTCCCCGCGGTGCCTCACTCCGCTGGACCCACCAGCAGCCCTCGAAAGTGGCGACAGCGTCGCAAATCGCAGCCCCCCAGGGACGGCACACACACACACACACACACACACACACGCACGCACGCACGCACGCACGCACGCACGCACGCACGCACGCACGCACGCACGCACGCACGCACGCACACACACACACACACACACACACACACACACACACACACACACACACACACACACACACACGCACACACGAACACACGCACACACGCACACACGCACACACGCACAAGGTACGCACAAGGTACGCACAAGACAAGAGGAGACAAGAGGAAAGCGAGAGGCGAAAGGCGGGAGGAAGAAGACTGGAGACCGCAGTGCTTCGCCCCTAGCACTCGCGCGCAGGACAACGACCCTTATTTCCCTTCTTGCTCGGGGCCTCCCCTCCCCCCCCCGCTCCGCTACGCCCCCCTTGCTCGCCTTCTGCCGTGGCCTCCCCTCTCCTTGCCTCGGCGCCTCGCCCTGCCGCGCGGTGCCCCGTCTCGTCCGCCCTTTCGCTGGGGCGCGGGGTCTCTCCCCCCCTCGGGGTGGGGAGGGTGCCTCGGCGGCCTGCCCGACGCACTTACCCTTGCCAAGTGGCAGAAGAGGGAGGGGCCGGCGGTGTTTAAGGCGGCAAAGGGCAGCCAGCGGCAACCCGGCGGGCCCGCTCCGAAGTCCCAAGGCAAATGCGCGAGGGCCGCTGACCTCCGCAGGGCTGGTTTGTTCATCTGCACAGAATGATTGGTACTCGCTTTCCTGTTCGAGATCCGTGTCTTCCTCGCGGGCCATCGGCGATTGAGCGCGGCCGCGGCGCGCCGCGATGTAACAGTCGCGGCGGCGGCGACAGGCAGCAACGCGTTCACGTGCTCTCTCTCCTGCCAAAAATTCCAGGGCGGTCCGCGGCTGCAGAACAATCGCCTCGGTCGACGGGGCCCGCGCGCGGGGGGCGGCGGAGGGGGCCTCAAAGAACCTGACCCGCGCGCAACCCTGAATCTGGTGGGCACTCATGCAGAAGAACGGATGGAAACTCAACTGGCGCGCGCGTGCACGGGAACCCATGCTTCGCGAGATCCGCGCAAGAGCGGAGAAACGACCGTCGCGACCCTGACGGCCATTGGCACGTCAGACCAACGCGCACCGCGCGTGGCCCGCGCAAGCGAAACTGCAGCTCACCAATGCCGAAAACGCCCAGTCCGCGAGCGGGCGCATGAGCACTTTGCAAATGCATGTGGCACGTGGTGCATGTGGTGTAAATCCAATGTAAATGTTGAGCAAACGCTGTGTGAACGCGGTGTGCAAAAAGGACGTTAAAGTTGGCGCAAACGTGGTGTATCAATAGTGTAGAAAAAGTGTGAAAGTACGATTAAAAAGGTGTGAGAGTGGTGTAAGAGTGGTGTGAAAAGTTCGGGCTGTTGAATTCGTAACCGCTGGTGTATTCCCGAACGCGGTTTCCAATCCCTGTGGTCCCCCCAGAACTGTACTGATCCACTGCAGTCATAATCCCATGCGGCTCCGCGGTATTCTTGGGGCCGCGGGCGGGATCTCCAGGAGGCCCTGGCGTGGGCTAAGTGCGGCATGGGGTAAATGTGATGTAAATGCGGTGCAAATGCAGTGAGCATGCGGTGTAAAAACGGTGTCAAAGTGATGTAAAAAGAAAGGTAAAGGCTTGCAAGAGCGACGTAGCAAATAATGTAAAGTGGTGTAGGAGTGGTGCAAAACTACATGAAAACGGTGTACAGGTGGAATCAATGTTGTTTACATGTGGGGTATGTGTCGGGCCTCTTCGCGTGCTCAAAAATGGAAGCACAATTCACGGTGCGCGGTCGCGAATC